ATAATTATATATGTTTATAAATATTTATATATGTTTATGTATGTTTATACATATTTATATAATATATATTCATGCATGAAAATTTTTTTCTTTTTCTTTATACTTTGTACATTTGGAATTTATTTTGTATTCAGAGGCTCCAAACCACGGAAAAATCATTTTTACGATGTTGATGATCGAAGGCTAATTTCTTTAAGATAAAAATTCATTTCAAATTCAATTCAGAGTTTATATTCTTATCCAGATGTAATTATAGATTTTTATCTGTTAAAAACAGATTTGATTCATAAAAAGATATAAATTAATAAATCAAGATTTTATATCATAAAATTCACATAATATAAAAAAATATGAATTTATATAATAAAATTGAATCTTGCAAACTTTGTATTTACAGTATTCCTTCAAAGTTCTTTTTTTGTAGTTTTGCAAATTAAACATTCAAAACTGTATTGTTTTCATCAGTTTGTTTAACTATATTGTTTCCAACAAAATTTCTTTTATTTCTTTTAATTGATCTTACTTTTTGAACAATATATAAGAATTGTAACGAATTATTTTTTTAATTAGTAACTACTTACTTTAACAACGTAATTTTTTCCAGTCCTATATATGCAAATAGTAAATATAAGTATAGGTACAAAAAAACTTCGTAATTATTTTCTGACGATATATTATGTATAGCGAGTCTTGAGCATAGTTTTTAAATAAAATGATAAAAATCCTTTCATATATTTTTTTTTATATTTATTATAATGCACAAAAAATATTGTTTTGTCCATCTGAATTTATCGCAAGAACTAAATTACTTTTTATAATTTCGAGAAAAATAGTCCAAAGGCTGTTATACTTGGTCTATTCTTTTTTTCTTGTCATATTTCTTTGGTGGTTTACGTATATCCGAGCTTTAACATAGAATTTCACTTTAATAGAGTACCATGTTGCTTGGCTGAGAAATGACACGGTAAGACTGACAAATTGTCTGCAAACGCAGCCTCACTGGATGTTGGAGAGGAGGGCTATCTTAGGATCACTGCCGATGAGCAGGGTGTTCTTGCCCGGTACTCATGATTCTGCGTCTTACGCGATACACGAACGAGCGAACTCCGAGAATATCGTCGAGAAATATGTGATAACGCAGGTAAATTCTGAATTAATAATACAAACTATGAACAATTGAATATTTGCGTGGATAAATCAGATAATCTATAAGTCTATCTCGTTGCATCAATATCGATTCCGAATCGGAAATCGCATGACTTCAAGATCTTTATTTCTACATCAGTTTTTCGATTGATTCGAGACTTCCTTTCAATTTAAATAAATTGAATTCAAATAGATTGTAAAATTGATTCGAAACTTCTTTTTTATTCAAATAACGAGACGCTTGCCACGCTCGAATAAAGTTTAATCTAGGATATGCTCTTTGCTTCCCGTTTCTTACTTTTTCCTTCTTTATGACCATTTTATTTTTATCGACAAATTATTTTTTTAATTAGTAACTACTTACTTTTACAACGTAATTTTTTCCAGTCCTATATATGCAAATAGTAAATATAGGTATAGATACAAAAAACTTCGTAATTATTTTCTGACGATATATTATATTGACTGATAATATATATTGTCTTTTCCGAAGTTAACTTTTATCTCGAGGAATAGGAAACAAAGAAACAGGAAGCAAAGAACATTGTAGATTAAGCTTAATTGGTGAAAATTAATATTCGAGCGACATTAAAGAGAGCTTACGCATTAAAGTCAGATAAGAATTAAATATGGAATAACCGTTGCTGGTAATCGTTAGGATAATTAAACTGCAGGATGTGGACGTGCTCGCGCAATTAATCTACGGAGTTAGATATCTCGACATCAGAGTCGGATACTACCCCAACACCAACTCGGTGTGGTGGGTGAATCATGGAGTATTCAGAACTGTTCCCATGCAGACCATCATAAATCAGGTGAAGACCTTCCTCGACAAGACGAACGAGATCGTAATATTCGACATCCAGGAATTTCCAGTTGGTAATATATTTTAACGTTAAAACAAATGGCCAACAACTCTTGTCCAGGCAAAAATAGTACCGCCATGAATGTAACGTTCTTTTCTGTGCTCTTTAAAATACATGGAAATACTGTTGCGCCTGAATGCTGTGTCGAATTCATTCGCAATACTCTTACATTAAAAAAGCCATTGATTCAAAAGATTATTAATTTAGTGTAAAATTTTATATAATAAACAAAAACTAAAAATTAATGGATTTTGGGAATTAGTGAATTAAAAATATAAGAGCCATTCATAGATCCGACTCATACTACATTCTAAAATGCCTTGCTTATTATCTGATTTAATCATCATTATCGGAACTAATTCTATCTACAATCTTCTTTGTTTCGTATCAATTCTATGAGCACAGCGGATTACGAATATTATAAACGAATATTGTAAACATAGAGACAAAACACAAGGCTAGCATTACATCACGACGTGATGTATCACTACTAAATTATTATATAAAAATTATTATATAAATTATATCTATGAATAATAATTTCATTATTTGTGTGAAAATATATGCTGACGGTGTTGTTAGGCTTCGGAAAAAATCTGGCGGTACATCACGACTTCGTTGCATTTCTCGAGGAACAATTCGCCGGATATTACTTGCCGAAGAGTTACGGGTGGACCAGTACGCTGAATACGATCTGGTCATCCGGGAAAAGACTTATTATTGGTTATGATGAGAGACGAGTCGTCAGTCGCTACGAAAGCATATGGCCTTGTGTGATACATCAATGGGGAAATGTTAGGACTATCGAAGACTTGTTCAACTATCTGAACCGTATCGAAACGGAAAGTCTTGGGTATGTAAATATTACGTAAAGCCAATACTAAGTAATCCTAAACTATTCAAGACCATTCTCTTCATCACATCTACTTTTATGATAATCTCGGCTGAGATAATATTTTTCGCAATAAATTATTCGCAGATTTAAGTTTCTCATTAGTCATTAACAACATATTAACATCTTTAGATGATGCTTATTAGCATCAAAAATTATTAAACTGTCAATTTAAGAACTAATATTACTACTCTGGTTCTACTCATAACTGCGTTTCAAAACCGAATAAGATTTCGGTGTGAGGTTTATAAAACGAGATATGTATATAAAGTCATATAGAAATATTTAAGCAGTAAGATCCGATTGAATATAGGATTTCTCTTAATTAGATCTATTTTTGATTTTATAAGTATTTTCGCTACTCAAGAGATATTGTTTTAAGTTAGGTATATGACAAAGACGGGTATCTTTACGCGAGCCGCTTAGTTCATTTGGAATCTATTAGATCTTAATAATGTGTGGCTGAACCTATTAAGTTTTTAATAGTCTCAATTGTTAACTGGGTGTCCTAAAAAAAGGTCTTTAATTTTGTTCTTTGTACAGTGTGAAGAGATATAACGTAAACTCAGAGCTGGGCATGTATTTGAAATACTTTTATTTAAAACACAGTATTTGCAATACAAGGGTATTTTGTATTTCAATGAAGCACATGAAAATATTACGTATTTTGTATTTAAAATTAAAAGATTAAAAGTTTTTTTGTATTTTGTAGATATTGATTGTCAATCTTAGTATTTGAAATACAAAATACAAAATACTTTTATATACTCCCATGAAATACAAAATACAAAACATTTTCATGTGCTCCGTTGAAATATAAAATACAATTGTTTTACAAATAGTTTTTTAAATAAAAATTTTTTCAAATATATGCCCTGCGAAAATTCTAATTTCGCCAATCCAATGATTCTCATTTCAGACAACCTAGATCAATACCAAGATCGGCGATGGCAGAACTAACGCCCAACACGTGGGATGTAATTTTAAACCGGCTTGGAAGTATCCGCCAAATGGCGGAAAATGTCAATATCAACGTTACAAATTGGTACAACAGCAAATGGCAAAGTACCGCCAATATTGTTGCTGTTGACTTCGTTCGATCGTCCGGTATCATCGAAACCGCGATCGAATGGAACGAAAAACGAAATTCACATTGTTAAAATCTTTCCTATTCCTTGTTAGCGCGAGAATTGAAAAAACGTACAAACTAAAGTTTATTAATGCACATTAATTCAAACAAATCAGTTTTTATACAAATAGTACTTAATAACTTATTATTTTGCTTCTATGATTTTATCTAGTTACGTGTTATACGAATATTAATAAATTTTATACACAAAGTGGGCCATGTAATTAAACAATATCTAATATAAAGATGTAAATATCTTTCAAAATATTCATTCTTCATTTTTCCATTATTTTAAAAGTAGAAATTTATCCATATTTTCTTTTAATTTAAATCTATTAAATAATAATATTAATAATACTGCTACGATGTATGTATGGATTCATCGCAGCGTTTAAACAAAAAAAAAACAATATCTAAGTACCTCGTTTTAATTAGGTAATTTAAATTTAGTTTACAAGAGAAACTAATTCATCAACCCTCTATTGCCTTCTCAAGAAATCTAGGTAAAGCGTAACGCAGTTAATCACATAATACGTTTCCATTTTCGCGTGATCATCATAGTTCCGCCGGATGTACGAATAATGCTCTAGTCAAGGTAACCCAGAGAAACGAAATAATTGTACAGGTGCGCGATGCAACGAAATCAGTTCATCATCCGGTACAGACGATGTTAGTCGCAAATACGAAACTGACGAGATCTAATCCGTCGCGTTTCTTCTGTAATAGAAAACGATTTATAGCTAGACACAACTTATATATAGACACGATTTTCAGAAAAAGAATCTGAGAGAGAACGATAATCGCTTTAAAAAGTCGACCGAGTTTCTATATTCCTTTTATGAAAAGGGTCGTTTTATTAGATTTCGCTTCTCGAAGTCAACTGACAACGTCGAGATCACCACTTATATGAAACTAGCGAACTTTTATCGTCGTGACCATCTCGTTTGCATTTATATACAGAAAATGTGCTGCCTGTTGCTACTGCTTTTACTGCCGATCGTAACTTCGGAGTTGTGTGACAATCCTTGGTATCATTATGGTACTATATGCCAGAATAATTCTCTTTCTTGTCCTAATGATCAAAAATGTGTGTTCATCGAGTACTGCCCGGCGGTTGTATCCTTAATGGATCGAAACGCGCTTTCTTCTCACAGGTAACGTGATTATCTTTTTATATCGAAAGAACGAATACATATTTACACACGTTGATTTTTTAAGCGCAGATTACGACAAGCTGTATGCGGGTACGATCAAACGCATATAAAAATTTGCTGCAGCGTTAATCGTTACATCGAACAACCAGTATATCCAGATAGAAATCTGGATGTATATTCGACGCAACTATCTTCAAATTTTCAGTGTGGAAAAAGTATTGTTCGGAGTAACGTAAACACTTTAGGATCGTATCCTTTTGTCGCAAGAATCGGTTTCCTAAGCAAGTACTTTGCATGTATACGAAAATACTTGTATTATACAGAAATTGTGTAATATACAGGATGTCCCAGAAACTGCTAATTGTCTCTAAATTGTAATTCAAGTTGTAATGCTGTAAAAAAATCAATTTTTCATTGATGACATTGAAGTATTGATAGTTGGTTCCAAATTTATCAATGAAAATGCAAGACAAAAAATTTCTGTGACATCATCTACATAGCAAAAATTATATACAATTTTGTTCGAAGGATGAGAAAGAGAGAAAGTTAACTATATTTCTTTTATTATATAAGACATGCGTTTTCAGACTGTTAGCAAGAATTCGCTTTTAGATACATTAACGGGTGAGATCAAATACTCGTGCAATGGCGTGATTGTTAATGAGCGTTCTGTATTGACTACAGCTACATGCGCACTCGCGAAATCGGACAGATACAGATTGTACGTATATAGCAGTCGAAAATAAAATATAACGAATGATCGTTACTCAGATTTTCGATCGTAGCATTAAATTGTAGCATGCAGTAATTATAATAATCCTCATTTATCTTTAGATGCTCTGTGCTTATTGGTGAATATAATACAGAGTTCAATCCAGATTGCAATAATTTGTTTTGCGGACACAAAACCAGTAGCCACGACATATCGTATGTAGTAAAACATCCGGGCTACGACGCCGCAAGTTATTCCAACAACGTCGCCTTACTTCGCTTGAAGAAGGCTATCGAATTTACAGGTATGTACAATTCTTAAGTATATACGTCGAAGACACTGTGATGATCACAGCCTCAATACGGGAGGAAATAGCAATCCGGTCTTCTTCAGCCACAGCTCAACCAATCTGCTTTATACCGGAAGACAGATACGTCAGCCTAGGAAGTACATGCACTGTTGTCGGCTGGGGAAAATTGTCAGGTCAAAAAGGTATTGTATTAATAGAACAAACTATCATAAAGCATAAACTGTAAGCTGTGTTTATGTAACGTTCAAGTGCTGTAACCCTGTGATCCAGCGCAACCATTGACGCAACAGTCATTACAACTAGAACTCGTACCTAAGCAGCAGTGCTCGGACTATATAAGCCAAGCTCTATCTGTTGAATTATGCGCCAAAGGAAACTGTGAACCTTGCTCAGATTACAACGGTAGTCCTCTGTTATACAAATATGCGGACATGTATTTCCTGGTATGTTATCAACATAAATATTTACATATACTACAGATGTAGTTCACATATTTATGTTTTCCATTTTTTATTTTTTAATCAGGTTGGAATCCTATCATTTGGGTCTAGTTGTGACTCAAGCACCATTGTTTCGTCTGCATTTGTAAAAGTACAGAAATATACAGAGTGGATTATAGAAAATGCTTAAAGTTAGAAAAATATAAAAAATGTCTCGAAATATTTCTTAAGAATGCCGATTGTAGTATTGTATTTTCACAAGTTTTATTTTTTGCAAATCTAAAATAGATTATTTATGTTTAAATATATTCAAATATTTGCCGCGTGTCATTTCCTTAGCCTCTTCTAGACCCAGTTGATAAGCTAAATCGTGCAGTCTTTTCACTTCCGAGATAAGCCCGGTCATTGACAAATTACCCAGTTCTGCAAGAAAATATTTTACGGTATTTAGCAATGAGATGAAGAATTATATCTTATGCAGCATATCAACTCACGATGCACATGGCTTATGTCATCCTGCGACATCGCAGCCCAAAAACATGGTTCTGTCTGCGGTGAATTTTGAGCAACAAACTCATGTACACCTGGAACTTCATTGCTCGCTACATATATGATGTATTGTGTATACATGACTCATAAATGATCCTTAAAAAATGTACTCACTCTGCTCAGGCCATAGATCAGGAGATGCTCTGTCCAATTTCTCTAGACTCATGAGACTCTCCTCTATGCAAGACAAGTCTATAAAATAAGAGTCAATTATTTTTATTTTCTTTACAGTTGAAATACTTTCATCATAATAAAAAACATTATATCATTTCACATATATATTTATGTAATCTGTCTACTTTCAAATTCAATAAAGTTAGTAAATATAAAAGCATACAGATTAATTTGTACAATATTTTAGATATAAGAAATTAAGCTGCATATCGATTTAAAATATCTTATTCTATTTTGTTACATAAAGTAAAAATTCAACAAATAGATAAGACAGCATATAAAATGTAAGTATTCAACATTTTAAACATATAGTAAATTTTTGCGACAACAGCTGGTATTCATAGTCAATTCTTATAATTCACATATTAAGACAGTCTTAAAATAAGAAACAAACTATGAATACAATATGATTTAGATACACCTTCGACTTTTCTTTTCTTAAAAAATCAGCATATATAATTATAATGCCTATAAGCGTTAAAAAAAGCCTACAAAGAAATAAATTAGTCATTTAAAGAAACAACATTAATAATATACTTTAATATATTTGTGTTGTACGATTATAACCCCAATACTTAATGTACATAACAGAGACAAAAGCACTCCAAAATAGCAAGTACTTTTATGCTTCATTCAGCATTCTATGGAGCAAGGCACCAAACTTACCCGGTTGATCCACTGCTTCATCAGTTGCCATAACGCTCGCGTGAGAAAGCTATAAATTTACTCAAGTGTTTTCCGAATGAAGGACGCTTCAACGAATACTCGACGCGCATACAAAATGGAGTGAAATGACCGAACGAAATACTTTACACACGGCTCTTTTATTCCTTATGAAAATGCTCGAGTAACAGACTAAAAACCACGCGCATCAATCGTCACGTATCGTTCTTTCGTAACGTCTCCTGCCTGCGCAGTTCCTTGGCTAACTCGGCTTGCTGTTGCAGAATGTAGACATTTTCTGCCTTTCGGCGCTCTCGTCGTTCGATGTCGTGTATCACACCCAAGTGCAGCTGCTTCCTGAAACGTTTTTTGCAATTCAATATTAGTTGTGAGAAAGGCGAAATATCTCAACGCGGTATCTACCTGTCGTAATCCTGCTTGTAATGCACGTAGCCTATTATTCCGACGGACGACATGCAACATAAACCGAAAGTGATTTTAGACGCGTTCGACATTCTCGAGGAGAAGAGTGCGCAGTTATCGCCGTGAAGTTGTCGCGCGAGGCACGACGGGATAATCGATTATTGTCGATTCTCGCGCGCGCGTTATTTAACTGTCGCCAATCCGAAATTCGAAGACTCCGTTTTATATTTTTATTCGATTTGCAACGCTTAAAGGAAGTGAATTTGAGAAAAGACAGAACCTAAGACTCCTATCCTGTAATTCTTAGAAAAGTTCTTCAGTCTTTTTATATTATATAAAAATTTGATCAAAATTTAAGAATAAGTTTGTAATTAATATTACTTATAGCCAAAGTTGCATTATGATCGTATTCCAATATACACTGCCAGTAATGAATCTATAGTTTACATTATACTACAGAGATTTATAATTCTTTCGTAAAATACAATTAAAGATAGTTATAATTAGATAAAAGGTAATTGAAATTATTTATTTATGAACTCATATTTCCGCAGAACATTCGCGCGTTTTAATATAAGTACACTGTCAGTACTAAAAATCTATAGTTCACATTATAATTAAATGAAATGCATGAATTTGAATTTAAAAAAATTAGTTAAGACGATTTTCTACTTTTTAAGTCGTATACGAGTGCTTTTTCAGAATATTATGTTATTATGTTATCTTTATATGAAATAATAACACGACATTATTAATTTGATACTTCAAACGAAGAATTTTAATTTCAAGACAGTATGCGAATAATATAACCCGATCTTATGCTACACAAATTGTAAATCCAATAGTTTTTTTTACCTAATAAATTGTATGTAGTTTTCGCACGAAAGTTACACGACTAACAGTGTTGTCAGAGATAACGAATTTCACTGCCGAGAAGTAAAAGAGATCGTTGTCAGATAATCGGGTTCTTAATTTTAGAAGATTCATCCTTTCTTCTGTCGTAAGATTGAATTCCAAACCATCTTGAATACTCTTACAAGTCTTCACGCCTCGCAGATATAATAGCCTAATAAAGGAGCTCTTTGTCCTTCGTTGCAAGTTGGTTCACAATATATTTCTTTTGACTCTCATATAACGAAATAAACAATAATAACAAGTGACAAAGACCTATATGTAAACGATAATACAAATAAGTGAAAAGGCTAATTCGGTTAAATCAGATTTTGAAACTAAATGATATATAATATTTCTAAAAATAAATTTTTATTACATTTTCGAGTTATACATAAAATTAGATAAATTACGTCCTTTACATGCTTATTTTTAGTTCATAAAATAAAATAGACCGCAACATATATTTCATAGATTAATGCAATAAATTAATAAATTTATTTATATCGGTGAAAAAAAAGAAACACACGATTTTTCACTTCTTTCACCATAATCCAATAATCGCAGTAATGGATCCTTAATATCAAATGCAATATATAAATTACATGGAATATTTTGAATGCTTTGAGAAATCACTATGTTTAAAGAATATATTATTATCATTGCCAGTATGTGTTGTACGTATATAATAGTGTCCTCAAATTTCGCGCTTAATTGTTAATTATCGGGAGCAAATTGGTGAGAAAAATGATATCATCACTCATTCTGTCAAATTCTGTAAAAGAACGAGATTTTTGTAAAATAATATTTCCACTTTGACGATACTGCACGACAAATAAAAATTTTCTGTTACCATCATCTAGTTGATTTTTCATAGGAAACGTATGTTGGCATTTCTGTAGATGTGGATAGATGTTACTAAGAGACGTTTTGCTAAGGAGATTGTAAATTATCATATTAGAGATCCACCGATATATCGTTAATATGTACTTTAATCGGATGAAATTTGTTCTATATCTGTTGAAAAAGTTGGATCTTTTGACATGTTTGTGATTTTTGACATTCCATAATTTTTGGAAGAAATCGTTATCAGCGTCCATTGTAGTTTTCTCGAATATCTTTAAGTTTTCGTTTAGTTGACGTTTAGTCAATTTAAGGTTGTCCATGAAATCCTTGATGGTTATTTCCTCATCTGTGAAAAAAATCGAGATATTTGTGAAATAATATTTTCATTTTGACATGATATCGTACCTCTCCATGAAAAAATCTTTCTCTTACCTTCCAGTTCGCTCTCTTCCATGGGCAATGAGAAAGATTGATCATCCAGTGAAAGCTGAAAGTCATTGACAGATCTTGTCTTTCTAGTGGTATTTGAATCGTACTCATAAAAGAACGACCCAAGTGCTATCCGTGAGAAAATGAATAATTGCATTTCTAGTGTGAGACGTATGTTTCGTTTGAATTTGCATACTCTTTTAGTATCATTGCCCTTGGTCGTCGACGACTTATCCTCCACGACATCTGCGGTGTCCTGATCTATATAAGAGATCAAGATTTTTGTATAATAATATTTTATTTTAGTGCGATATCGCACATTTCTACGGCAAAAGATCTTTCTCTCACCTGTCGGTCCATTGTCATTTTTTTCCATGGAAAATGAAGACCTATCTTCCAGTGGAGGCCGGGACTTCTTAATGGATTTCTTGCGGATATTCGGATAACGTATATTAAGGACCCATTTATATGCAAGCAATTGAAGGTCGCATAGCCTGTTATTGAGACCAAACGATATTCCATTTTTCTGAGAATGTAGTTTCTCGTTTAATTCAAATACGATCGATTTAATATTCTTTACGAGGGCTCCGGTCATTCTCCATAATTTCTTTTTCTCGTATAATTCCTCTGATTCTTCATGTAACTGGTCTTCGATCATTTTAATGATATTTATGATATCGGAGGAGCTTACTATACGATCTGTATAAAAGATTGAGATTCTTGTGAAACAATTCCATTTTGACGCAATATTGCGCTTTTCTACAACAAAAAATCTCTCTTACCTTGCAATGTGTAGTTAGTCATAGGGAGCAGTATACATCTCTCTGGAAGTTTTAAAATTTTCTCTGCAAATGAATTACCGATAGTATTTAGGACCATTACATCGGAGGTCCATTGATATATCTTTATTACGAACCATAATAGGGTCATTTCGGTATGTTGGGACAAGTTTTGAGAGGAATTAATAACAGCATTCTTTGCAACGTCCTGAAGTCTCTTTGACTCCATTACGATCGATTTAACGTGGTTTATGATTTCGTCGGCGGTTATCCTTTGATCTACGTAAAAAATCAAGATACGCGTGGAATAATATTTTCATTATGGCGTGATATCGCGACAAAAAATCATTCTCTCTTACCTTCAATTCTACTGTCACGTTTTTCTACGGGCACTGAAGATTGATCTTTCAGTGGATGCTCATTCAAAAATCTCCTCCCTCTGGTGTTTGAATGATGGGGTATAGACCTACTCCATGTATATGATAACCAGAAGAAAGAATATAGATTGTTCATCAATTTAAGTCTTTGGGTTCCATTTCTTTCAACAATATCGTCACACAAGTCTTGAAAGGACGTGGCATCTTCGGTCAGCGATCTATTTTCAGGTACGTAACTTTGTGCGACGACACAGTACAAAAGCACTAATTGCGCGATCTAAAGAAATGAGAACTCGGTTTTTATAGATTCATAAGGCCTTTTTTTTTATTGTCGATTTAGGTCTCTATTCTATATATCCCTAATTCTTACCACAGTAATGATATCGTCATATAGTCATTGCGCAGTTTTCACCCTTTAAAATCTTTGAGGTGAAATCTCATTCTAAAAATTGAAAATTGGGACAGTTTTGAAAAAAGTAATTCAATTTTCAATCTTTAAAAATGAGATTTTACTTTTCAGAACGAGAATCACTCTAAAAGTTTTAGGGAATACTTTAAAACCCGTGCAACGATGATGTAACGATATCGTTATTGTCGTTAAGTGTTTATAGAATAGTGGGTTTAATATCACTAATATTTTACTTTTACGCCAATTTTCGATATTCCGGAATACTCGCGAATCACTTACGATATTAAAATATCGACATATACATTATATGATGGCGATTATCGAACACGAGTGTATACATGTAAATTCCGAGTATTCTAGCCTTTTTTCGTTCCGTTTTTTCAATACCACGAAAATGAAAGCAGACCTGGAACCGACGCGATTCACCGATTCACGATGGACGAGGCTTGCGTTCTAAAGTACAGATTTTATAAAACAAGTCTAAATCGGACATTATACATTGAAGGGACAATTATCGCGACAAGTGAAAAATATCCGATGGTGAAGTGTAGTCACTTAAAATTGTAATATTTCCTCGCGTTTTAAAAAAGAACGACGTCGATGATATTCGCGCGATTATATACCTTTATATGTTTCGTGAACATATTCCCGAAACAATACAAACGTTTCCAGACGAATGTATCTTCTCGATGTGTCTAGATTTGCGATCGACTACTGACTGACGTGTCTCGCTTCGACGTTCTGCTTTCTTACAACAAGAACATACGTCTTTTCGATTTTTATGACCTTTGGATACCTACATGCCAGTATAGATCAAAACTAAGGGATTGAAACAAGCGATCAAGACAATGTATTTACAGTTTTTATAGGTTGTTATGTCCGTTACAGAGGACAAAACGTTTCGAAAAGAATAATAATCGTTTCTCTAAATATGTCAGAATGATGAAATATAAGAAGTACAAATTTAAATAAAAGTGCTATAATTTCCTTTAAAAATTCAATTTATTACTGTCTAATTTAATACTGAAAAAAATAATTAATATCAATGACTTCCAATATTGAATTTTATGTGAGAGTTTCAAAGTCGTTTTATGCTCAGATTTTTCAAAAAATGTTTTATTACCTATATATATGTATATTTGAAAATGTTTTGTAATCGTATCAATATCGGTTTTGAGAATTTGCCAATCTTTAAGTGTAGTTAAACTTAGTAATTTATTTAAATAATCTTATTAAAAAGTCTTACATTAGTATAGTCTTAGTATAGTCGAAACGTTCCATGCATTGTATATTAAGTAGTTCATTAATCTCTCTTAACGATTTAATAAGTTGGTTTCAATCTTGATAAAACCAACTTATTAAAAAAACCAGAATAATCTAATTTATTTAGATTATTTAAATAATCTTTAATTATAATATCAATTTCTTAGCATAAAATTGCAATGCAAATATAAAATTGGTAGAAAGTTCAAACAAACGAGCAATTAGTAGATCAAAGATTAAAATTTATTAAATCGTCAAGAGAGATTAATGAACTTAATATACAATGCATGGGACATTTCGACTGTACTAAGACTATACTAATGTAATACTTTTTAGTGAAATAATTACATTAATAAATAAATATATATATATTATAAGCGTAAGACGTGTACTTATTGTATCAAAATGGCAACGTGCTCACATCGTATTAAAATATGATCACTTGAGTATAATTTGTGTGACCAAAAAAAGTGTTACATCAAAATAACAAATATAATAAGCAGCTTAAATTAAAATTTAAGCAATTTTACAAGTTGAACAAATCAACGATTAACTCGTTAAATCATTTCTACAGTATTTTATTAATATACATAGAATTAATTTCTTGTTATTTAATATATGAAAAAAAGATGAAATTGACGATAATAATTATATATTTACAATTTTTATACTTTAAATTCTGCTCATTGTGAATTAATCGATGATTAACTCGTCAAAAAATCAAATATTTTATTAACATAAATGGAATTATTAGGTTTTCGTTTGATACACAGAAAAGGAATTTAAAACAAAGAATATGGAATTGTATATATGTATATGTATATGTAGCTAGCATTTCTTACCGTAAATAATATGGGTTAAATCCAAGTCGTGTCGGTTGAATCAAAAGTCTTCGAATTTAATCGAAGTCGTTTCGACTCTTGAAAATTGACTGTTCACGAAACTGTTCGATGTATCGATTGTTCCACTGAGTGTGCGTCAATTTGAATCTCGAAGGAAAAGATTACACTCATAGCTAAGATGGCATTATAGTTATGTTTTAATATACACTGTCGGTATTGAAAGTCTATAATTTACGTCAAACTGCAGAGAATTATAGTTCTTTGGAAACATATAATTAAAAATAATTATAATTAGTTTTTTAGTAAAAGGCAATTAAAGTTGCTTATATACGAGCTGTCATTTCCGTAGAACATTCCAATGCACATTGTTAGTATTGAAATTAGTTACAGAAAATTTGTAGTTTACATTTTACAGAATAAATAATTTTAATTATTTTTTACTAAAAAACTACAATTATCTTCAACATTCGCTTAAATTATTCTTATATATCATCTGTTATTATTTTATTTATAAACTTAAAAAATAAAATGCACTCTTGTGCACACACATGCCTCTCTGTGCTCGCCAAGTATATGATGTGATAAATAAATAATTACATTTACAATTTGAAAAGTATATGATGTGATAAATAAATAATTACATTTACAATTTGAAAAAGTGTCCAGATCAATCTATGATATCAAACTATGCAAGTTTTTATCGTAGATAGTTTTTATGCCATGTTCGTTTAAATCATATATCGATGGATGAATATACTACTTCAAATCTTTATTCCGATGATGAAAAATCCAACAAAATTTCTTCTAAGTTGGTTGACCGGGATAGTCAATCTAACGTGATTAACTCCTTTAGATTCTGCCTACATTGTAATGTATGTACATTAAATTTAAAGACATCCATTGAAATTATTTAATTCTATATCAACATCATTTCAGACTTGATACATAATTACATAATAATTTATATGTTGAAAAATAGTCAAAATTTTGGAAAAATTAGTTGTTTAGTATAAATTACCCTCAACAACACAAAACTTGCAGCAATATTGTTCTGCGCTGTTGGGATCTTATTAAAATGTGCATGAATTGAATTAAAAAAATTTTTTTTAACGTGGTTCCAATAAAATCAGTCTGAAGGGGTTAAAGCAATTTTCTATTTTTCAAATCGTATACGAGTGCTTTTTCAGAATATTGTACTATGTTATTACATTATCTTTATATATAATAATAGCACGAGATTACTAATCATACTTCAAACGAAGAGTTTCAATGAAGAATTTTAATTTCAAGACAATGATATGCGAGTAATAACCCATCCGATCTTGTATTACAGACACAAATTGTAAATACAAGTTTTTTTTATTTAATAAATTGTATACAGTTTTCGTACGAAAATTTCACGATTAATAGCATTGTCAGAGATAACGAATTTCACTGCCAAGAGGTAGAAGATATCGTTGTCAGATAATCGGGTTCTTAATTTTAAACGATTCGATCTTTCTTCTGTCGTAGGATTGAATTCCGAACCACCTCAGATACTCTTACTTGTCGTATTCATGCCTCGAAGATATAATAGCCCAGGAGCTCTTTGCCCTTCGCTACGAGTTGGTTCACGATAAATCTTTCTTCTGAATCTCATACAACGAAATAAATAATAATAACAAGCGACAAAGACTTATATGTAAATGATAATACAAATAAGTGGAAAGACTAATTCGATTAAATCAGATTTTGAGACTAAATAATATTTCTAAAAAAATAAATTTTTATTACACATTTTCGAGTTATACATAAAATTAGATAAATTACGTGTTTTACATACTTATTTTTAGTTTACAAAATAAAATAGACCGCGACATATATTTCATAGATTAATGCAATAAATTTATTAATTTATTTATTTTGATGAAAGAAAAGAAACACGATTATTCACTTCTTTCGCCATAATCCAATAATCGCAATAATGGATCCTTAATATTAAATGCAATATATAAATTGCACATGACATATTTTAAATGCTTTGAGAAATCACTATATATTATTATCATCGCCAGTATGTGTTGTATAATAGTATCCTCAAACTCCTTCGTCGGCAGATATTTGGAGCAATTTATTGGTGAGAGAAATAATTTCATTACTCATTACCTCAAATTCTATAAAAGAACGAAATCTTTGTGAAATAATATTTCCACTCTGGCACGACATTGCGCGACAAATAAAAAATTTTCTGTTACCTGTTAATTGATCCTTGGTCTTTTTTATGGGAAACATAAGTTGACATTCCCGTAAACCCGGGTAGAGATCACTGTCACCGAGAGGCGTTAAGTCAATGGTATTGTAAATTACTATATTAGAGATCCATCGATATATCGTCAATTTAAATTTTAATCGAAGTAAATTCAAATTCTCGAGTGGATCAGGATTGGATCTTTTGACATGTGTGTGGTCCTCAACATTCCATAATTTTTTGGAAAAATCGTTATCAGTGCCCGTTGTAGTTTCCTCGGATACCTTTAAGTTTTCGTTTAATTGACGTTTAGTCAATTTAACGTTGTCCATGAAATCCTTGATGGTTATTTCCTCATCTGTGAAAAAAATCGAGATATTTGTGAGATAATATTTTCATTTTGACATGATATCGTACCTCTCTACGGTCAAAAAATCTTTCTCTTACCTTCCAGTTCGCTCTCTTTCATGGGCAATGAGAAAGACTGTTTATCCAGTCGAAGCTGAAAGTCATTGATAGATTTGCTGTTAGCGATATTTAAACCGTACTCATTATAGAACCACTCATATATTATTATGTTGTACGTGAATAGCTTCATTTCTATTGACTGACGTATGGTTCGTTTGAATTTGCACACAGGTTTATTAAAAGCGTCGATCGTCCTACCCTTGCGCTCCATGACATCTGTAGTGTTTTTCTCCTGATCTACATAAGAGATCAAGATTTTTGTATATTTTATTTTGGTGCGATATCGCATATTTCTACGGCAAAAGATTTTTCTCTTACCTGTCGGTCCGTTGTCATTTTTTTCCATGGGAAATGAAAACTGACCTTCCAATGGAGGCCGGGACTTCTCAGTGGATTTCTTGCTGATATTCGGATAACGTATATTAAGGATCCATTTATATGCAATCAATTGAAGATTGAATATGTCGTTATTGAGACGTGACGATATTACAGTTTCCTTAGAATCTAGTTTCTCTGTTAATCCAGTTACGATCGATTTAATAAGCTTCTCGAGGAGTTCGGCCGTTCTCGAATTACCTGCATGAAAAATCGATATTCTGGTGAAGTAACATTTTTTGGCACAATGTCTTTATGGCGAAAAATCTTTTTTTTTTCTTTCTTACGTTTCATTGTGTCGTTGCTCTTTTCCCCGAATAATTCATTTGAGTTCGCACGTAACTCGTTTTGGATCTTTTTAATGATGCTTAAGATATCGGTGGACTTTACTATACGATCTGCATAAAAGATTGAGATTCTTGTGAAACAATTCCACTTTGACGCAATATTGTGCTTCTCTACAACAAAAAAACTTTCTCTCACCTTGCAGTGTGTAATTAGTTTCAGGGGGCGATATACATCTTTGTGGAAACTCTAAGATCTTCTCGTAATACGATTTGCCGATAATATTTAGGATCATTGCATCGGAAGTCCATTGATGTACCATTATTACAAACCATAATATACTTTCGTCGGCATTTTTGGAAAAGTTTTGAGAGGAATTAATAACAGCATCCTTTGCAATTTTCTGTAATTTCTTTACCTCGGTTATGATCCACTTAGTGTGCTCTATGATTTCGTTGGCGGTTATCCTTTGATCTACGTAAAAAATCAAGATACGCGTGGAATAATATTTTCATTATGGCGTGATATCGCGACAAAAAATCATTCTCTCTTACCTTCAATTCTATTGTCATGTTTTTTTATGGGCACTGAAGATTGATTTTTCAGTGGATGCTCATTCAAAGATCTCTTCCCTCTGGTGTTTGGATGATAAGATATAGTACTGCCCCAGTTATATGATAACCGTAAGTAAGATAATATATTGATCTCGAATTTACGACCGCCCTCCTCTCCCTCATCAATTCTATCATTACACAAGTCTTGAAAGAACTTGGCCTCTTCGGCCAGCGATCTACTTTCAGGAACTACGTAACTCTGTGCGACGACACAGTACAAAAGGACCAATTGCACGATCTAAGGAAATGAGAACTCGGTTTTTGTAGATTCGTAAAGGCCATATCAGACTATCGACTCTGCAAGCCAACCCGACTGCCGACTCTAACTGCCGATCAATAATGGACCAATCACAATAAGACTGATTCAATGTGATTGGTCCATTATTAGTCGGTAGTCAGAGGCTGCGGTCCACTTGACGCTACAAACGCTTCGAAGCATTCTTTGATTAGTCAATTCGTAAAATTCTTTGTTCTGATTGGTCGTTCAAATGCTTCGAAGCGTTTGTAGCGTCAAATGGACCGCAGTTAGAATTGGCAGTCGGGTCGATTTGCAGAGTCGGTGATACGGGCTGAAGGCCTTTTATTGTCGATTTAGGTCTATTTTGCGTTTCTAATTCTTATCGACAATAATGATATCGTTATATAGTCAATGCTTAGCTTTTTCACTCTCCAAATTCTTTGAGATGAAATCTCACTCTAAAGATAGAAAATTGGGACAGTCATGAAAAAAGTAGTTCAATTTTAAAAATGAGATTTCACTCTTCAGAACGAGAATCACTTTAAAAGTTTTAAGGAATACTTTAAAACCCATGCAATGATGATATAATTTCGATTATCGTTATTGTCGTTAAGGGTTACAGAATAGTGGGTTTAATATCATTAATATTTTACTTTTATGCCGATTTTCGATATTCCGGAATAGTCGCGAATCATTTACGATATTAAAATATCGATATATACATATGATATATACATATGATATATGTATATATATATGATGGCGATTATCGAACACGAGTGTATACATGTAGATTCTGAGTATTCTAGGCTTTTTTCGTTCTGTTTTTTTCAACACCACGAAAATGAAAGGAGACTGGAACCGACGCGATTCATCGATTCACGATGGACGAGGCTTGCATTCTGAAGTACAGATTTATGTGATTTCGTAAAATCATGTCCAAATCGAGCATAATGCATCGAACGGATAATTATAACAACAACTGAAAAGTATCAGATAGTGAAGTGTAGTCTCTTAAAATTATAATATTTCCTCACATTTTGAAAGGGAACGACATCGACGATATTTGCGCGATTACATACCTTTGTATGTTTTGTGAACATACTGTCGAAATAATACAAACGTTTCCAGACGAATGTATCTTCACGATGTGTCTAGATTTGCGATCAACTACAGACTGACATACGTGTCTCGCTTCGAGTCGTTCTGCTTTCTTACGAAAAGATGTTATACGTCTTCCTGATTTTGATGACCTTTGAATGTCAGTATAGATCAAAACAAATTTAAGAGATTGACACAAGCGACCAAGACAAATGTATCTATCCATATTGAAAAAATTATGTCATATGTATATAATTATGTTACATCATATAATCATGTAATTAAAATATGTAAATCACGTAACGGATTGTTCCAAATCAGCATGTGATTTTTTAAAATGATGTAATTTGAAAAATCTTACGATATTATACAAATAATTTCATCCATCATGTGATGTTATAGTTATATATATAGAAGTTATATAGAATTTTAAAGAATTGAATGACAGAAATAGAAGAAAAAAGAATATATCATCAAGTGACTTCTCAAAATACGTAATTTTAAAATCATGTACTGATTTGAAACAATTCGTTATATGTTTTTATTACGTTTCATCATGTAACCATGTGACGTGATTTTTTTCGATAGAAATAGTTTTTCATAGGTTGTTATGTCCGTTACAGTGGGCAAAACGTTTTGGAAAGAATAATAAACGTTTCTCTAAATATGTCGTCAAAATACGATGAGAAGATCAAATATAGGAAGAACAAATTTAAACAAAAATTTTTATTTTCTTCAGAAAACCAATTTAGCACTGGCTAATTTAATACTAAAAAAGATAATTAATATCAATGCCTTCCAATATTAAATATCTGTGAGGTTTTCAAAGTCGTTATACGCTCAGATTTTTCAAAAATTGTTATATTATATATATGTGTATTTGAAAATATTCTGTAATCATATCAATATCGTTTTTAAGAATTTACCAATCTTTAAGTGTAGTTAAACTTATCTTTAAATAATCTTTAATTATCAATTTCTTAGCATAAAATTGTAATGCAAATATAAAATTGATGGAAAGATCGAACAAACGAGTTTTAATTAATAAATCAAAGAATTAAACTTGTTTATTAAATCGTCAAAGGAGATTAAAGAACTAGTTAATTACAGTGCATAGGACGTTTCGACTATACATCTTTTATGCTGTTAAATAATTACATTAAAAAATAAATATATGTATATATTATAAGCGTAAGACGTGTATTTATATTGTATCAAAATGAGAATGTGCGCACATCGTATTAAAATACGATCACTTAAGTATAATTTGTACGACCAAAGAAAGCGTTACATTAAAGACAAAATAATAGAGGCAATAAGCAGCAATGAATGTTAGCAATTCGCAAATTATAATTTTATATATAAAAATAATTGTATGAGTCACACAACTACAACGGTATTTCATAATATTATCAAATCGATACGAATTTAACAAAGTTCTTAAATTTCTGAAAGGAATTTAAGCGTCTTGTTAAAAACAAAGAAGTAGAAATTGTCGTCTAGTTATACTGAGGAAAACAGTATCTTTTATTAGTCAAATATATAAGTATATGATAAAATTTAATACAAAAGCATGTGTATTTAAAGTATGTATTTGAATAATAATATAGAATAATTTTTTGCAAAAAGATTCAGCTTTTGACCAAAAAGTTGGCTTTTATGTTTTTCTTTTGTATAATAATTTGATTTATTCATAAAGTCTATATTATAATTTGAATTTGAAGTTAATAAAATATGTGGCCAAGATAAAAAAAGCTAATGAGGTAAAATATTATTTTGTTAATACGAATAGAATTAGACATTTTGTTGTTTAACAAACGAAAAAAAGATTATATTGGAAACAAAGAATTATACGTATAGTTAGAACGATACTAACTAAACTTCTATCTATACTATAAAAGTTTGTGATTATATATTTTGCTTTGAGTAACTCTGCCGATTAATCGTCTATTAATTTATGAAGTAATCTTTATTTCAACATGAACAATGTTTTAATATGAATAGAATTAATTTTTTTGTTGTTTGACATATGTAACAAGGAGATTAGATTGAGAATAATCGAATTGTATATTTAAAAGAAATTCGATTAACTCGTCAAATAATTTCTATACAGTATTATATTAATAGACATAGAATTAATTTCTTGTTATTTAATATCTAAAAAAAGAGATGAGATTGACGATAATAATTATATATTTACAATTTTTATACTTTAAATTCTGCTCATTGTGAATTAATCGATGATTAATTCGTCAAAAAATAAAATATTTTATTAACATAAATGGAATTATTAAGTTTTCGTTTAATATATGGAAAAAGAATTTAAAACAAAGAATATCGAATTGTATATATATGTATATGTAGCTAGAGTTTCTTGCCGTAAATAGTATAGGTTAAATCAAAGTCATCGATTGAGGCTGCGGTCCACTTAACGCTACAAACGCTTCGAAGCGTTCTTTGATTAGTCAATTCGTAAAATTCTTCGTTCTGATTGTTCGCTCAAACGCTTCGAAGCGTTTGTAGCGTCAAGTAGATCGCAGCCTGAATCAAAAGTTTTCGAATTTCATCGAAGTCGTTTCGACTCTTGAAAATTGAACGTTCTCGAAATCGTTCGATGTATCGATTGTTTCACCGAGTGCGTGTCAATTGAGTCTTGGGGCCAGTTTCACCAACGCCAGTTAATTTAATCGGCCGTTGTTTAGTAGAATTGACTAATTACGGTTGACAGTTAATCATCGCTTAATCGGCTTGGTGAAACTGACCCTCGGAGGAAAGGATTGAACTGATAGCCATCGACGAGATATTATTAAAGACCGTCAACCCTGGGTAAATTTTCGGCGGTATAAAAAGGGCTCCAAGGGTCGGAAGTAATTGAAGAACGCTGACATTATCGACAATTGATATAATTTTACTACTATTAACATAAATATTTGGCTAATACATTATTAAATTCATGATTTTTTATTACATAAATGCTCCATAAATATACATACTTGTAAAGCTATAATATTCTATATACTATTGAATATAGAGAATATAGAAATATAGAATATAGAAATATAGAATATAGAATATTCTATATTCTATATACTATATAGTATTGCCGAAAAATTACAATTTTTTCTCTGTAGTTGTCGTCTCTGTTGACAATCAAATTTTGACGATATACTGAAATCGTACTCCATAAAGCCGGAATCAGACTACGCATTGAAGATTGAGGTTGAAGATTGAAGATTGAAATTTGACCAATAAGGACAAAGAAATTTTAGCTCCTTTTATTTCGATTGGTCAAATTTGAATTTTTCAATCTTCAATCTCAATCTTCAATGCATAGTCTGATTCTGGCCTTAGTCCATACGTGAAACTCCAAAATGGAGGTAAGTTTGCAGTACTTTATCTATCTATGGTGCGTTCGGGGAGACGCTATTAGCGTTACTTCTGTCATTCTATCTTTGTTGTTTATTAGACGTAAAACAAGGATAGAATGACAAATAGCGCTAATAGCGACTTCCCGAACGCACCTCTAGGCTGCGGTCCACTTGACGCTACAAACGCTTCGAAGCGTTTGAGCGACCAATCAGAACAGAGAATTTTACGAATTGAATAATCAAAAAATGCTTCGAAACATTTGTAACGTCAAGTAGATCGCAGCCATAGTGACTTTAAAGGGTGTTCTACACATGTGCCATCTCGTGTTTAACTTCGGAATAACATTAGGAAAGTCAGAGAATTAAAACGCAGAGGATCAAACAGTCGATAGTACAGTCGGTACAATATTTTTGAGCGCAGATGTAACAAGCGTAGACATAATTTGTTTCACGGCCAACGACGTATGTTGAGGGGTGTTACGCCATTATTGTCGTTATGATATTAACAAGAATTTTATAAATTTGTGACGAGCATAATACCGTTAATTGAGATGAGACATATACCTCCAAATTAACAAAAAAATCCAGTTAGGTTAGTTTGGAGGAAGTTGCGAGAGTTGCGAGCTACGCTAATTTAATGTTTTCAAAGGTTAGGCATTCATGATGTAACTGTTTATTATGGAAAGACATTTGTGGACTTTCGTACAAATATTGGCTTGTATTAACGTCGTGGTAATATAAAATTACACATAAGAAATCATTCTATTTTTGATGGTGTGCACTTTTCTACGCGAGCATGTATAATGATTGTTTTGCATGTACAGTAAGTGCTCCATCTTTGTCTGAAACATACATTTATTATTCTTTATTACTATTTGTATGTGAATGGTCATTAGTATGCTCAAAGAAAGTATGCATAAATTGAGTTACCAACTCAATTTATACGGTCCCGCTTGGAGAAAATGAATATTAAGTGGAACATCCAAAAGTTGATAAATCTGTGATACATTATTTCTATGTTTTAAACTTATTGTTATCTTCCTTCTCTTTTATTTTATAATTATAATTTATATATTTTAAAATTTATCTTGTGTACTTCTGTTAAAGATAGCTAAACATTTTATTTTTGTAAAAATTACTGTAAGTTATTAGTAAATCCTTAATAAAATTAATATTAATATATGATTGTTATCGAAATAGCAGTTGAAAGAATAATCTGTTCTATTATTAAGTCTTAATAAGTATCGAAGTAATTATATTATAATACATAAAAAAACCTATGAATAATATAACGATCATGATATTACTGTGAGGAATTATAGAATAAGTCTACAGGGCAATTAAAAGCATTTTTTTCAAGAGGCATTTTTTAAAATTATTCATTTTATGAATATAATTATTAATAAATTTTTTTAAATCATTAATATAATAATAACAGTAATAATCATCTTATTATACAACTTTTGTCATACAGGCTTTGTCTACAAAATATATTCTACAAAGAGCTTAAAAATTAGCATTTGCATTTAAAAAAAAAATCTTTGTAATAATCTAGTTAATAGGATTGAATGTATAATTAATGATTTCTAACAAATGTTATATTAATGTTGTTTTCAGACTCAGAATAAAAGTGACGTTGCTCTCAGCAAAAGATTATCATACCTACTACGTCATGGGGCTACAAAGGAAAGCTTAAATATTAAACCAAATGGTTTTATCGCAGTTAATGAATTATTAAATACATCACTGCATCAATATACTATTGATGATATCAAGAGAGTAGTAAAGGAAAATAACAAACAAAGATTTACTCTTGAGACTATTAATGGTATTTTAGAGATTAAAGCAAATCAAGGACATTCAATATTCAAGATCAATGAATTGAGTTTGAAAATACTTGATTGCATAGACTTTGACGTAATTCATGGCACCTATTTTAAGTACTGGCCAAATATAAGAACAGAAGGTCTATCACGTATGAAAAGAAATCATATTCATTTTGCAAAGGGATTAAATTTTGTTAACGGTTTACGTCAAAACGCTGAACTTTTCATTTATGTGAATTTTGGGAAAGCAAAGGAAGATGGCTTAATATTTTTTGAATCTGAAAATGGTGTTGTTCTTTGTGCCGGAAATTCAAAAGGATTTATTGAAACAAAATATTTTTTGAAAGTGATTACTGCTGATGGTCAAACATTAAATTTGAATTGAAAATAATAAAATCTTAGTCAAACAAGAAACGTAACTGAATATAATAAATTACGATTATTTCCACAACTTTAAAACATGAATTCTCAATCATATGATGAATCTTTTAAACATAAAAATGAACAGGTCCCCACGAGCTCAAAAAATCAAGTAACAAAATCAGAACAAAAATCACTTGAAGAAGAGCATTATTTATCAGGAAGATCACTTTGTGTTTCACCTTTACCAAAAACACTGTTGCCAATGGATTTAGTAAATTTTTTTAGACGATTTGGAACAATTAAAAGACAACATTTTGGACAAGATTTCTTTTGGATTGAATATACTGAAAGGTAATAAAAATTTATAATAAATAAGAGCCCTATACGGTCGAAGCTAGATCTTAAGATGCTTTAAATAAATCAATCTTGAATCACTAAATATGATATATATGTACTTGACATGTATACCATAATTGTAGTCTAACGAACTGTGCACCGAAATATTTCCGGACTAAACACAATTAAACCACTGTAGTAATTTCGCGAATTAAATTAAAATTCTAATAATTTCGATGTTCAATCAGGCATCATATTTCAAAGATATTAATGTGCTGAAAAACTGTAATTAAACTTATTGAGCAAATATATAATTAAAAAACATTGTTATGCGTTACAAAACACCTACGAAAAATAGACCACTTTTCATTCATTTCTTAACATAGGCCTTTCTTCATGTTTTTCTCGATATAGCACTTTCTATGGCTCAGGCGTCGATATAGAATAAGTTTTTTCTTTTTTTTTCCTAATTTTTAGAATAAATATTTATTCTTTTGTTTATATACATCAATCAAAATTGATAATAATCAATATTTAAGAAGAAGAAAAAGAACACAAATGTTCTTAATAATAGCTAGAAGCATGTGAACAAAGGTATTACTCAATGAAATATTGCATTTATGCTGTTATTGCATTGCAGGAATCCTACTAATATTCTAATGAGCAGAACAAATTGGCTACCAAATGAAAAATTATGTATGAGAAGACTGAAGAAAAATGAAAGTAAGATATACAATCATTATATCTCTTAATAATTTTGATATGATGTTACCTATTCACGCTCATTTATTGTTTTAAAGCACAACAACAAAAGCCTACTAATTTAACAGTGCCACAACAGCAAAATGACACTGTTCGAAAAAAAAAGAAATTTGAGAATAAAACCGAAGAAGAAGAAGAAGATCCAATAAGTTATGATCGTATAAAAGATGTTATTGAAAACGAAGTGACATTTGATAATCAATTAGCAGCACTTTTAAATGCAGTACAACTTACTGAATTTGAATTGACAACAAGATATAATGTCATTTGCTCTCATTTGGATGAAATATTCAGATTGATTTTCCCAGAATGTCGGACGTTCAGATTTGGTTCAACAGTGGCGCAATTAAGCTTTAAAGAAAGTGACTTAGATATCTACATGTACGTCGGTAGAATCGGTAAGAGATTTTCTAATTTGATTATCGCATGAATAGCATATGAATCGCATATTTAATGTCTAATAAAATAATGTCCGTTTCTGTTTCAGGTTTACCGCCAAATTATTATAAACCGGATATGCCATTGCATATATGGACGACAACGGTTTTCAAGAAAGTGAGAAGAGTTATGTATAATATGAAATCTGTATTCACCAACATAATATCAATCCCTAAAGCGAAAACGCCTATTATAAAATTCCGTTATATACCGACTAACGTCTCGTGTGATATTTCCTTCAAAAATGGCCTAGGCATCTATAAAAGTGACTTCTTACGGTATTGTGCATTACGCGAGCCTCGATTAAGACCGCTAATGCTTCTCATCAAGTACTGGGCGAGGCATTTCGGGATTTCGGGTAGTGGAAGAATTTCTAGTTATGGATTAATATGTCTAATTATTTTTTACCTTCAGCAAGAATCGGTTGGTCTCCTTCCGCCTTTACTACACCTTCAGAGAAATTGTGTCCCACAGATTTTGAATGGATGGCAAGTAAATTTTGATGGAAATACTGTGTTACCAGCCATTACCAACAGCAGTAATATTGCAACATTGCTTCACAATTTCTTTGCTTTTTACGGTGAATTCAATTTTACCGGATGTGTGATATGTTTATTGGACGGAAAAACGTATTCATTGCCTGATTTCGCACAGTTAGATAAATTACCCGATTACTTGGACAGATATAAAAATTATGTCATGGATAATAATACCAAGAAATTGGATATTTACAAGCCAATATGTGTGCAGGATCCAATCGAACTTAATCAAAATACAGCCGCAAATACGTCAGATCGTGCATTACTAGCATTTCAACATTGCTGCAAATTTAGCGCTGATGTCTGTTCAACGGGTAGTGAAAATAATTACAATTTTTTAATAAAGATGTTATTCACTTCAATACCTCCTCAATTGAAACAGTTGAAGAAAAAAAAGAAAAATTTCAGAAATGTAATAAAGGCTGGTCGTTTTCTCCATGCTGGATTACCAGAAGATTTCGATACACGTACAGATATTACTAATAAAGAGCAATGTAAGAAAGATAATTGGTATTTCATCACTTTTAATCTAATAAGAGATATCTTTGAAATGATTTTTAAGTTGCAAGTTGAAGTACTTCTCGATCAAGAAACGAAGCAACAAAAAGTTAAAGTATTATCTGACGTACATACCAAAAGTTATCAAAAAGTAACGTTTCACTGCACAGGGAATAAATGTGTGTGGTACAATAGAAAGAAAAATGGTAAAACTCTTTTGGATCTTCAATTAAGTCTCCTGGAGAAAGAAGCAATTATGTCAGATAAAGTAGTGGAGCAATTAAAAGAACATGATGACGCAAACAACATAAAGCTAAATTTTATATGTACATTAGAAAAGGCGGACAACCCTGTAGCGGTAGTTGTAGTATTGAACGATGAGGACAGTCAAAGTTACATTTTTCGACAATTTGAATGTTTCGTAAATAGTTGGATACCAAAAATAATAAACAAAACATTGCTACATATGCTGCAGTACAAAAAGACCTATGATCAATTGCTATGCCACCAGTCATGATGATGTTAAAGTCGTATGCTTTCCGGCATGGACCAAACATTAGCGGTTCTTTCTATGTATTATTCTGTTGATATTATGTAATAGAATTTCATCACATACGTCTGATTAGTTCGTTTTTACAATTAATAATTTTAGACCATGTATAAATTCAGAATCTTTAGAAAAAAAAAAAATATATATATATACATACATATATATATATTTATAAATGAAGAATCTAGAACTCGAGTTTTTATTTTATACTTTTCAATATTCATATTACAATATTATTTATTGAATCCACATGATATTTAGGAATTATAATCTTTTTAGAGTAAGTATAACCGTAATATGCAATAAATGTAGTTTTTTATAAGCACAATGTATGCTTATGTCTATTTCGCTCTTCTCACAGATTCGTATCGAGAAATCAATCAAGTATTACATTTCCTATTCAGAATTTTGAATTGGGCAGTATTCACGATGCACTTAAAAAACTAAAATTTTTTAGATTGAAAGGCATAGAAATGTACTTCATGCAATTTCTAATAAATATAAATTAATAAAAATGTATTACGATTGAAAAGGATTCATTTCAACGTTCGCGAATGTGTACTTTTGAAATACTTTTTTATTTGTACGACACAAATATGCGTTGAATGTATACGAGGATGTCGGGGGATCATTTGTGTCTGCGCGCGCTCAATTTTGAATATTAAGAAAATGACGCCCACTATCGGGCTTCACGAGTACTTTCCCCCTCCCCACCTCACAAGTTTCTTTAGTAGCAGAACGGCGCGTATGTACTTGCTTGTTTTCAAAATAGTCATAATTTAATTTAAAAAATCACCTGGACACAAACGACTCTCGTATACACGGTTTGAATTAAAATTCTAACTATTCACACACCTCTAAAATGTAATAATAAACATATTGGAATAGAATGCTACACGAGTGCAACCTAAGTATTTATCAATTATCCTTGTTTTGAATGTTGATGTTAATCAAGGATAACATAATACTTGGGCAACGCTCTGGTAGGAATTCTGAACGCGCCTTTGAAGATGCTTGAAGGATAAAAAAATAATGAAAGTAATGTTTTGTAACATATATAGGTGATCGTCACAGTTAACACGTCGGCTGATATTATAGTACGTTAATGAGATTATATTGGATTTTACGAAAATGTTTGAAGATCACAACTTTTCAGATATTTCAAAGCAATATCTAAATCTACCACAAACTGCTCTAGAATGTCGAATGCTCATGATAGGTTCTTATGAATGTATTCCTCGGGAAAAAGTAGTGATTTCTTACAATGGTGTAAGATTTGATGTCCCTTTGGTAGAAGATGGTAAATTTATTTTATCTATAATGAAAATGTAGATAAAAAGAGTCATTAAGTTCTTTGAAATATTTTGATATTTTACAGGTACAAGTTTTGTAACTTTGAATGTGAAACACAGAGATGTAGTTAGACTTTTAATTAATTTTGAACAAACTATGCCAGTACTATTCTTTTATATGTCTTCAAGTATAGGAACCATGGTACGTGAATTATTAGGAATGCAAGATCCAAAGGGACCGTATTATGATCCTATTGGGAAAGGTGCGACATATACGAATTTTCTGTATTTTAAATAGTTTCTGTAGTTTCTGTAATTTAATGATTTATCTAAAAAATATTTATTCAATCTCTGCAGTTTTCGATAAACATATGTAGAATGGATTCTATATATATAATATATGTAGAAAAGATATAAAAATTCTTACAATTAGTAAAGCCGGATGTGATTAATATTAAAAATTTTTAATATTTCTTAGATCTTTTGCATAGACGTATTACGTTATTACCAGATAAGTTACCGGAGGATTCAAAGGCGATACTAACAAATTTATTCTCACGAGAAGATAAAATAGTCGAATTGAATCCCCAGGAAGCTAACGTCATACTTCTACGGGCGTTACCAAGGGATCATGTACGTGTATTTGACTGAATTATATTATATTTTATTATATATAACATACATATACATTTTTAATATAACCATATATACATTAATTTAATTTTTTTATAATGTTTACAGTCGCTTATTATTACAAGGAAGTTAAATCAAAACCTAACAAATACTACCCTCGATATTACCAGTATCGATGATGACGTACAAACGTAAGAATCTTATTTAATAATTGACTTTTGTCTTTTAATAACTCGGACAAAATGTATTTCATAATCTTATTTATTTAATCTAATATTACTTGATTTGTTATATATAATTATAAATTGTAAATATAATTATTGAATTTTTTAATGCGTAAACTATTTCTTTTTGTAGAATAATTACATATCCACCATTTCCTGCAGAAGGAAGAATGACCATTAACACTAGACATTATCTATGTCTCGCAGAAGACCAATACTTGAACGATATGATTATAGAATTTTATTTAAAGTATTTAACCTTAGAGGTATTGTCAGAATTTGATCAACGTAGAACTCACATGTTCAGTTCATTTTTTTATCAGCGTTTGATCACTCCATATTTCGGAGAAACCCAAAATACCGTGACACTTGCCACCGAACGGCACGCAAGAGTACAAAGGTGGACGAGGGATGTTAATATATTTGAAAAAGATTTTGTTATAGTTCCTATAAACAAATAGTAAGTAATCCTATAAATTTAACATGAAGTTAATATAAGCTTAAGATACGGTGCTTTATATGGAGTATCTTCCAACAAAAGACACACATGACACTGTGTGCACCATTACATCCTTATTCGTCAATGTTAAACAAGGATGAGATGATCACTGTATTGTACTGAGTCGCTTGTTGGAAGGCACCCATGGTGTTCCGGTACTAGGTTCACTCAGGACAGTCAGAACCGAGAATCTTAAAAGTTGGAATCAATATTGGGATATCGGATAAAGCATTGAAGTTTTATCGCATATACATTCGTGTCTTACAAGAAGAGGCTACGCTCTGCTCTTTACCGATTTTGATCAAACTTGCAGCGATGTTAGAAGAGCCTACCAAATGAACACCTGTAAAGCTATTTCCGCTAATGGGCCTTAGAAGCCGAGTAGGCTCCTCTAACATCGCTGCAAGTTTGATCAAAATCGTTGAAAAGCAGAGCATAGTCTCTCCTTGTTAGTCTTATATTGAAATTTATCTCATATTAAATAGTTTGTAATAAACGAGCTAATCAATTTTATTAATTTTATTCTTTAAGTAATTCTATTGACTTTTCGTAACATAGGCATAGATTATATCATATTTTGCGTAACAATATAACATTATTTATAGTGAACACTGGTTCTTGGTTATTATTTGCTTTCCTGGATTAGTTGGAAAAGTTTCCAAACATACAAAAACTAGCAAAAGTGATAGTTTCGTTAGTTATTTTAATATGGGCGAAGACTCTTCTAAATCTGTACAAAAGAACAAAAAAATAAAAACAGAGCAGAAGGAAATCAAGATGTAAGCAGCACGTTTATATATATATATATATCATGTATTTAATGCAATTTATATTGTGATTTTAATATTTGAATAATTTAATTTATAGTCCTTGCATATTAATATTTGATTCGCTCGGTGGTACTAAATACCCATCGGTAATTACTACATTAAGAGATTATTTAAGTTGCGAATATGTTGTCAAATTTGGTGTAAAAAAGACATTCTCGAAAGATACTATTAAAGCAGCGTATCCGAAAGTACCCAAGCAATCAAATTGTACTGATTGCGGATTATATTTATTACAATATGTGGAAAGTTTTTTCAAGGCAAGTACATATTAAAATATCTTTAATATTTAATTTTTTTATTATTACGTGTATATTCTATATGTCTATGATTATGTATAATTAATATGATTGAGTTTATTTCCCTTTCCACAGGATCCTATTAAAGATTATACTTTGCCAATTAAAACCTTGGAAGTATGGTTTGAAGAAATTGTCATAACGAGGAAGAGGGAGGAATTATCGAATTTGATAATTAAATTAATGAATAACATTAAAGGGAATAAAACTATTAATTTGCCTACTATAAAATTTCCGACACAAAATAGCAAGTTGAAACCGGAAATTAGATGTAATTACTTCTGAACACAGAATATAGCAACGATTATTTTAAGACAAAATTTCTAATATATTTGTTATCACAAATGTTGCTATAGATCTGTTTTTAATCTTTTTTTTGAATACATTAAACATAATTGTATTAATTCATTTAATAGTTATTCGTGTTACTTAATAAAATAGTGCTGATTTATAATTTAATCGTAGTTTGATCGAAGTTGTCCTGAAAATTAAATATAATTGCATTATTTTAGCTTAATGCTCAATAATGAAATACATACAACTGTGAGATGCCTTGAAGAATTGTTTTGTCAATTTAAAAGTGATCATAATAATATAATCAGCTTTGACAATGAAATTATATATACATAAACATGTTCTGTTAAATAATGTAACAATTTCATTTAGAATTAAATTGTTTAAAATATTTATATGCTTTTACATTTAATTTTTACATTTAGTATACATCAATCTTGTAATGCAAGTTGAATTCGCTAATAGATAATTATTACTTGCTTTTCGCTTTTGAGAATTGATTGAGGTGAAAATTACAAAAAAATGAACAAATTTATTAAATGTTGACCAATGAAATTATAAATGTCCAGTAAATTTCGCTCACGTTTGTAATTTTCACCTCGATTCAAGATACACGATAGAGTCCCTTCGTAAAGTACGCGGCGACGATCTAACTTTTGCCGCGCTGCAAATTCAAATTTTCCCGCGCGATGGAAGATATGTACGTAATGCTATTTCCGGAAAACTGGATGATTGATTGGTTTACCGCGTCGACTCTTGCCGCGCGGCGAGCGTTTCCGCGTTCTGTGCAGGAGCCATTGCGCACTAGTTATGTTTTCGAACGTAGTCTTGTTAGGAGTTAGGTTAGTTTCGCTAACTGAACGAGTTAGAAAGAGAGAAGACTCATCGTCGAGCAGGCACAGGTGTTTCCTCGGGTATTTTATTCGCACGCTCGAAATCTTGCCGATTTTCATCGTTATTTATCATTTCTTCCGATTCTAACGGATTTTCCTATTTCCGACATTTATGTACGTGAGGCTGCCTGCGTCAGGCACTCTTCCTCACAATAACTACAATAACCCTACAGCACCGGGAAGCGGAAACCACGTTTTCATTTTCCTTAAGCAAACTGATAACTAAGCTCGGCCGTTATTTCGTTTCCCGGAATCGATCGTCCTATTCTACATGTGATATATGTTGGAGAGTTCGAGCACTGTGCTCGTCAGTATACTTATCAGTGTGATAAAATTGAATCTAAAAATTTACACGTCCAGAGTTGAGAAACGTCTAAACCTTAAAGAGTTTCATTGTTGTGTTCAATATCGATAAACTTGCTGAAGATAAAATACAGATATACTTGGGATTGGATGAGATATAGATCTTATTGAATACAAGAATATGTATGGATTGCAACGATAAATTGAAATGACAGCAATAGTAACTGAAATGATATAACTTGATATCTCAAAACATTTGTTCAATCACATCAGTATATTTTTTTTTAACGTAACAAACGAATTGCAATAGCAATATAAGGCCTATTTTCTGAACTGATGTACACTTTTGAAACTTAAAGTGATAAGTACATATTTGATATTAGGCAAAAGTGAGAAAGAGAGTTCTATTGCAGTCTCTAAAAGCAGGAATAAAAGAGCAGTCCTATAAATACAAGGAGCATAATTAAGTTTTATTTAGAACTTAAAAGATATTTTCTTGATCACTTTAGAGTCCTGAGAGTACTGCAGAGTTAAAATTACAAATTGGTGAGCAACATGGATGGTGCAAGCAATAAAGTTGTTCAACTGAAAGAAGAAATGGAAATAAAAAAAGAAGATGCAAATACAGCTGGCAGGATATTCGTGAAGCAATTCCACCAGTTACTGGAGGATCCTTTGTTGAAAAATACCAGTGATGATGTGCAACGTGCGATCAAGGGTCTTCGAGAAATACCGGATGAAGAACTGAATGAGTTCCTCGATGATGAAGACTTTATGAAAGGATTGGACGTCGTAGATGCTTGGGAAAGAGATGAAGATAAAAACCGTGAGATTGAGCAAGTCAAGACAGAGTCTACAAAGCAGGGAAAGAACCAAATCTCTAGGTAGTGTCATTAAATAAATAATAATTAAGTAAATTTTTATGTAATATTATATTGTTACTATACTTTATATTACGAATAAAGCCGTTTTGTGCTCTTACAAGTGCAATTTCTGTAAAAAAATTCTAATGGCGCCACAATTTTTCTTGGATTGAGTTCATTACATTAATTTGTAACATTTGTACTGTACAAATGTATTATGTTCTAATTTTAGTAATTTAGTTATAAGTTACAAAACTACATTGTTAGATAATTTCCTTTTTCTGCTACGTATACGCTATGTGTATGATACATGTATACAATCTATTATGTTTAATATGGAAGTTTGCATACTTTAGCAAACAAATGATGGCAAGAGTAATTATAGGGAACATCATCGTCTCGAGAAGGACAAACGCAAAAAGCCGAAGAAAGAAGAGAAGAAACGTGAGGAGACTCGGCGGGATCCTTTGAAGAGCACCAAGGACATCGAAAGAGACAAGATGCGAACGAAGAGAGACACCGAGAACAAGCTTCTTGCTGAAAAGGAGAAGGCGATCAAACATTTATTGGACTCGGATAACGTAGTCCCACCTGGCACGGAAACTGAAGCTATCCTGAGCATCGCGGAGGAACAGAATAGAGAACGAGCTCAGCGTGAAGCTCAACGAAACAGAGAGCATCGTAGAAGCAAATCGTTAGAACGTTATGAAAGATCGAGTCCATCTCGGCGCAGAACTCCCGATCGATCTCGATTGAGTCCCCATCGACGAAAAAGTCCCTTTGTAAACTCGGATCATCGTAGGAGCCCATTTAAAAAAAGCGTAGAAAAACATAGAAGTCCTTACAGATACAGTCCAGGTAGATTGAAAAATTCACCGCGCTCCTACGATCGAAGAAGCCCCAAATTAAGTCCTGATTCTCGACGAAGAAGTCCTAGACGACTTAGTGGAGAACGACGATCCAGTATAGAAAGAAGACGGAGTACTGAGCGACGTAGGAGACGCAATGATTGGATGCATGAACGGTGAGGAGACAACATTCTTAACATCTTTGTTAAGAAATATTTAAATTCTTTCCGATTCAGAAAAGAGATTTGAAAACTTACTGTCACGTAGTTAAACATTATTTTTTTATACTGCGTGTACAGTAAAGTTACAAATAGCATGTTGTGTACAAATATATTGTAATTACGGTTTATTATACAATATATTGGTTTATGGTAGACATAATTTTTCAGACTTTGCGTTCTAATTTTGTATTTATATTACTGTATTGTACAAATATGTAAAAATATACTAGATTATATCTTAGTAATTATCTTGATTAAGCCGAAGAAGTCGATCTCACGATCGGAGGAGTCGCAGTATGGAACGTTCGAGAAGACGATTAAGCCGTTCACCAATGAGCAGACGGTACAGTCCCCGTCGTCGAAGTCGCACACGTAGCAGATCATTGGAGAAGCGCCCCAGGAAGCGTTCACCCTTCATCAACGAACTAGCAAGACAATTAGGACATGAAGCAATGTCGACTGCTGTGAACACCAGTGGATACGTACCGTCCTCGACGATGGAAGGAATTGCACCGTTACTCATCCCACCCACATATCAGCAAGAAGCGGATAGGCCACCACCGCCAACGCAGCCGCCACCACCACCACAACCACCGTTGCCATCGTCATCATCAGCTATGTTACCACCTATGTCAAATGGACCGCCATTTATGAACTTTGAACCTATACCGACTGCAGCACCGCTAATGAATTTCGAACCTATGCCTCCCCCATCTATGGCCCCAACCATGACTCCAGCCAGTTATGCATCCGGTCCGGTTATGTACAATCAGCCGAATGCTGCTGCTGCTGCTCCGCCACCGGTGATGTGTTCACCATTGCTTCCTGTACCCTCGCCGCAACCTGTACCTCCTCCTGTGATGGATCGTGCGCATGTATCGTATAATCCATCGTATACTGCACCGTTTGTCCAACAATCATCGATCCGTCAATTTGAACCTCCTAACAAATCTTTAAATCATTCAACTACATCCTCCACGTCGTCGCAGAAGCAGAATTATACAGAACATGGATCAGCGACATCGTACAAGGAAGTTTACTCTCCACCCCATCAGGAACGAATGAAGACACCTGAACCACCGATCATCTCCAAACCAAAAGTAATTGCAATATATATAATAGTGACGCGTATTTGGTTTTGTCTTAAGTTTGACAAGAAATGTTTATCGGTATGTCAAAGTTAATGAGCACATTAATTTATTTTAATTTGTCATATGAAGATTGTATTTATTTCAATCATGTATTTTATCTATAGAAAAAAATTAATTGTTTTTGACCTTGATCTTGCAGCAAAAAACCAGCTTATCCAGTCTATTGGAAGCATCTGTTTCAGCCAAAGGTGCGAATATATTTTAATTTTTTGATCGCGTAAAAATCGCGTAAAGATATAAGAACTGATACAGTTCACTTTTTTTGATTGAACCACAAGGATACAAACTACGTTTCTTATGTATCCTATTTATGGAACGATACTAATTTTTGTTTTTATCACATCCTTTAGATTCATCTAATATACCAGTACTATATCCAGGTAAGAACTTTGAAATTTTTAAAATTCAATTTAAATTGCAATTTAAATGCTTGTTAATTGCGCTATATATATAGTTGTGTGACGATTAGATGTGCAATTAAAGTGTGGTTTTGTTTAAAGACATTTTTCTCTTACGTGATTTACAACGTACGTGAAGATTTGTAAGAAGCATGACGTAAAACCTATTTTTATAAGCATGGTATATATAGTTCGGAATTTTATTCTACGCGACTCTGTTTTTTTTTTCTACTGATAGGATTCAAGCCTGAAATAATGCGACATTGCGAACAAGCGCTATACCAGCTTCCCATGGAGGATCCGCGTTTAAAGATGAAGGGTAGATTTTTTTACGATCGCAGCGAAGAGAACAATACGAAAGACGTTTCCGACGATCATACATCGAATTCGATACTTCTGCAGAAAAGTAAAACCAAGATATTTTGGAAAGAGACCAACACGGAACAGCCAATACCGGTTCCGAAAACAACTCAAACGCATCAGAAAATCTGTCAGACAGATGAGGTGGAAACGGAAACTAAAGGGGTGCAAGCACGTGTTACCACGGCCGACTTTGCATCACAGGTCTATGCGGACGACCTCCAGCAGGTAAAAGAAGATAGACGGCCAATAATGGATCGTTTAGATTGGAGCGCACGAGATACTTACGAATATGGATCCAAGTTTCGCGAAGTAGAGGATCTGAGATGGAGTCTAAGTAACTCTTCGCAGAGACGTACTTGGAACAGGCAGACGTCTCCTTCTAGAAGACCCGACGAGCAGGAGCATCATTTAGAGCCTATGAATCATGAATCTAGAAGTTCGAGGCTGGATTCTCCTATTAGAAGCAATGAGTTTTCTGCTCATTCTAATGTACGTGATCACTATAGTCATGATAAATATTCGCCGAATTATCAAAGACGTTCTATGGAGCGTGATGAATTTCATGATAGAAGAAGTGATCACAGCCGTGGAGAAAGCCCGATGGAACTAGAAGAATCTGATGATGAATTAATGACTGGTCATACATTCCAAAGAGGATCTGATTGGCATGGAAGAGGGAAAGTCTCAAGGGGTAAAAGTCATAATTTGCGAGGAAAACATATAGGAGGAAGACCATACCGGAGTCGCGGAAACTATCGGGGCAAGTTTTAAAACTATTCATTATATACAAAATATTTTTTGAACAATTATATGATCTATTTCATTAATATTATATATATATATATATATGTATATGCATATATATATATATATATATAGAAAGCGACAAGAAATATTTTAAACAGTATATAAATGATTAAACATTAAATGATACTGATTTTTATGATACTATGTGCATGGAATTATTTCATGTTAAATAAAAAGTGAAGAGAATACAATTTTCAGGATAAATTCAAGTATGAATTTATAGTGAACAACAGTGAAAAAAACTACATAGCATAAAATGTGTGCATAATATGCTCAAATATCTTTATATAAGTGTGTTTGATGAAAGCAATACTTGTACATACAGCCCTTGAAAAGAGTACCAATATCTGCAAAAGTATCATATCGTCATCTGAGCATCATTTCTTTTTATCATGAGAGTTGTCACAATCAAAATGATTATATACATATATGTAATCTTACATCGTAAGATCTCATAGATATGACAAATGTTGACATACTTCGATACTTTTGTTATTTTGTTTGTGTTGTTAATATTGTATTTACAATGACGTTGGACAACAATTTTTGTACAACAAAATACAGTCTTAGGATTAAGAAAACGTAGTATATGTAACGTAATAAAGACGTAACGTAGATTTAAAAGAAATTTTAATGTAATAAAATTTTAAAACAAAAATAATAAAAGTTATGAATTAAATTTATATTATAGGAATTAGCGTGTATCAATTTTGTTTTTTATCCCGAAGATAATATTGTAAAAACACTACCTATTACATTTCAATATATTAACTATAGGTATATCTCTACGTTTTTATAACTACAAATAGTTCTCTATTTGTGCGATAAATTACTTTATGTAGAGTTAGAAATATATTGTTGGCTATAAATTAATTTTTTAATTGTGCATATTTTTTTTATTAGTAAAATGTATGCTGCGAGCTAATCCTAAATGATTGCACACGTTGCACAGTGCTGCTCGAGTATTGCATCATATTATGCCATGCAGTTTGTACGTCCATTCGTAATCTTTTATTTTTTATAAATAAAATTCATTTGCATTACTCTTTGTTCCGATTTTATTATTATATTTTTCACAGAGACAGCGTTTATCAGGTGCCATCTTGTCGCGCAAACTGTTAGTATAGTACGTGATATATATCTTGTAAAGTTTTCCAGATGTAATTTTTTTCTTAAAGTTTTTCATATAATTTTTCAGAATTTTTTGCAATATTTATATAATTCTATAACTTTTAATTTTTTACATGTTTTAGAAATGCTGAGAAATTCTACATCTTTTCCAGAATATGAATTCTGAAATATTCTAAAATCTTTTATTTTATGATTTTCGAGAAGAAAATTTATAATATCTGAAGAAATTTGTTTCTTTTTAGAAATTTTCATAAATTTAAAATATAAAAAATTCTTAAAAATATGCAATGTAAGAATTTTTTTTACCAGTAATTTATTACAGTGCAAATATTCGTGCACATTAATAAAATTTTTAATTGTTTAATGCTATACCTTTACGTCGACATGTATCAAGTAATTATAATCGAAATACATACTTTTTAAAAAATAATTTCAAACTATGTTAATGAATTATTGATAAAAATTGAATAAAAATTTTTGAAATAATTTTATTGCAAATCATTTTTGTGATCATGTTCCGTAAGTGATGTCTACGAATTTTTTTCAACAAAATGTAAATATATTTTTATTTGATACGCAGTAGTTTTGCGTATTTATATTCATCTTTACCATTAATAATAATATTAATTAGAGATGTCACAGTTCATTTAGATTGATTAACTATAAGTATATAAAATACCATCGATCGTAGTGAATACACAAAAATATAGACATTAGGTACTAATTGATTTTTATCTGTATTTTGTAAATACAAATTAATTTTTACAATTTAGAAAGAGTGATTATTTAAAAACGTATCCATCATAATGTTTTGAAAAAAAAAATAATTGCATTGTTAAACTTAACATAAATCCCTAGCGACGCGTTCTTTAGAAGTTAATTGCGCTGCAAATTGCATTCTTTTAATCTTCCGGCACGACTGTTCGATTCAAATTACTCTAGCGAGCAATTTATACTGCAATTTAGCGCACATTCAGTTTATGAACGTCCGGTTTAGATTGCTCGCGAATTCCGCTTGACTTTGCGGATATGAATGTATCATCGCAAAATCGCTCAATGATCTTGACAGAAATCTTAGAGGAGGATGCACCAAGTCGACTATACGTCACGTCGAGTCGATTTCCCGTTTAAGTAGCTTATGATTCATTTTAAATCATTCACCGCTTTTAGACGAAACGTTCTTTCTCTCCGAGACATCAGTTGTTTTTTTTTTTTTTACTTTGTGATCAAATTTCTCATTCGAAATTCGATTACCTGACTAGAGAGAAGAAATAGTCTTCGCTAGATTGATACGTTTTTTTTTGATCAAACGACACGATTACTTTCCATGAGGAATGATTATGATAAAATGATTATGTTTTTCATGAAAGTTAATTCTACATTTAGTAATCAACCTTATTCGCAGTTGTTATGGATTGACGAAACGATCGGATTAGCTTGAAACGTTCATTTTTGTTCCAATTGAATAAATTCATCATGTTGATGGATCCGTTTTCTATTTTGGAAGAGAAGAGAGGTTTTTTCTTCTCACTTTTTCTTGATTTTGGATTTACAATCATTACGGTCGCAGTGTCATTTAATTAAATCCAAAACGGATTTTGTTTTCTATTTATGAAACTATATATTTATTTTTCTTTGATGTATTATATTTTTGTTTCTAATGAAAAAAATGTGATTCTCTTTCAACTTTAAGCACAATGTGGAATTTTTCATAAGTATCGGCAAGATAATCAGATTGATATCAATTAAAGGATCGCCATTTTTACAATAAACTGTATTAGAAAGCTGTTTATAATCGTTGTATAGTGATCACAGTTGCTTAAATTCAGAATGGATTTCGTCTTATGTTTATAAATGATATTTCTTTTTCTTTAATATATTATTATTTTTACGTTCTTTACAAAGAATTAACGTGATCCTTTAAGCTTAATATGTAGTTTCTGCCAAATATCAGATTGATGTCAAAGATCGCTATTTTTAATTCTGTATTAGCTAAACTGTTAAAAACAGTCGAAATAAAAAGAAAGTCGTTCGAAAAAGAAAGTAAAGAATTTTAATTCAGATAAATCGATTTATATAATATATATTCAAAACGGCGAACAATTTCGCTTTCAAATATCTTAACAACGACTCTGGTACATTCACCCCAAAGTCATATCCAACGAGATCTCATTTATATAGCAAAGGGATAATTGAATTAATTAATTCCAATTTAATGAATGAAACGGTATTATATTGATATTGAGAATGCAATCCACGGGGCCGAGTGGCGCGTTGTGCGCCGGGCGGAGGCGGCATCTGGCGGGAATGGGGAGCATCCGCTGTTGTCAAGCGGCGCGATATCGCGTTGGCAGGCCTGCCAGACGACGGCGCGGCCCCGAAGGCCGTATTTCGGTACGCGCGCGCGCTATCTTTCTCTCCTTCCTTCTCTCTCCCGCGCGCTTTACCGCCGCACGACGTTGGCGCCCCGCTCGCGCGCCGCCTCGCGGCCGATTACGCCAACTATTTCGGCATGGATCCAGCTCCATGTTCGCCCGTGAAAGCGATGCGGTGTTCCCGCGGTTAGGACGTTGTACGATTCTCGTGTGTGCTGCGGGAACGTCGCGCGTTATCCGTCGTGCAAGCCGCGTGCTCGAGCGCCCGCTCGACGTCGTCGCGATCGGTGCTCGTTCGTGCGCGTCCGCGAGCCAGTGGTGCGTCGGACAACCTCGTCTCGTGTGTCTCGG